AGATAGATAGATAGATAGATAGATAGATAGATAGATAGATAGATAGATAGATGATAGATAGATAGATAGACAGACACAGACAGGCAGGCAGGCAGGCAGAGAGATAGATGGATAGACAGACAGACAGACCGATAGACAGATAGATAGACAGAACAACAACAGATTTTTACAGATCAGTGCATGTTTGTATTTTATGGAAAACAGCAGCGTGAACATTGCCTTTTTCTAAGAAAAACAGAAAGTGAAATTTGGAACAACATGAGGGTAAGTAATTTAGATTTTTTGGGTGAACTACAAACATTTTTCTCAGTGTTTCTCTATCCAGATATCAGAGCGCTCAGATTAACCCCTACAGCAAACGCTGTCACGCGAGTCTTCCCTCTGCAGGCTGAAGAAAGAAGCCTCTTTGAGTTCCTCGCTGCTGAAAAACGCTCCAGCGCCTCCTCTGCGCTCCGAGCAGACGGCCTGTTGGTGTTGGCAGGCAGGGCAGGGAGGATTTGGAAGTGGATCAGGCTTGGCTGGAAATGAAGAGAGGTTTGGGTTTTCAACAAGAAGCCATAGCGGAGACGGGGGGGCGAGGGGCTCAAAAGAGAAGATGAAAGCGGGAAAAACAGAACAGAAGAGAGAGGGATTGAACAAGAGAGAGAGAGAATTCCAGGCTCCAACAGCAATACGTTATGTGGCAGAAAAACAGAACCATTAAACAGTTCATTCAGGAAGTGAACAGGTCATGACATCATTTCCTCGCTGGCAGGGGCAGGATGTGGGCCAATGGTTGTACAGTTCCTCCAGAGAGAGAGAGAAATATAAATGACAAATGGCTGTAAAACGGAACATATCTGAGTTGCATATCTGAACACTGAGTATTAAAGGAAAAGTTCACCCAAAAATGAAAATTTGCTGAAAATGTGCTCACCCTCAGACCATCCAAGATGTAGATGAGTTTGTTTCTTCATCAGATTTGTAGAAATGTAGCATTCCATCACTTGCTCAGCAATGGATGCTCTGCAGTGAATGGGTGCCGTCAGAATGAGAGTCCAAACAGCTGATAAAAACATCACAATAATCCACAAGTAATCCACACCACTCCAGTCCATCAGTTAATGTCTCGAGAAGCCAAAAGCTGTGTTTGTAAGAAACAAATCCATCACTATTTAGCCAAAATACCAAGTCCATAATCCATAATAACGCTTCCTCCGGTGAAAAATCAGGAGAGAAATCTGCACAGATCAATCACAAGACAAAATAGTCCAAAACAGCTCTAAACAAATGTGTGGATTTTGATGTGAGACAACAGGAGATGGACTTTTCACTAGAGGAAGTGTTATTATGGATAGAGGATTCATTTTTTAGCTGGAAGCAACAGTTTGAATTTAAAATGTCTTGATAGATTTGTTTCTTACAAACACGCAGCTTTTGGCTTCTCAAGACATTAACTGGTGGACTGGAGTGGTGTGGATTACTTGTGGATTATTGTGATGTTTTTATCAGCTGTTTGGACTCTCATTCTGACGGCACCCATTCACTGCAGAGCATCCATTGCTGAGCAAGTGATGCAATGCTACATTTCTCCAAATTTGATGAAGAAACAAACTCATCTACATCTTGGACAGCACAATTTCACCCATTTTTGGCTGAACTACTCCTTCAAGAATCTGATCTCGTGCAAACAATGCCACGTGACCGTCACTCACACTTTCTCTCTGCAGGTAGCTGATCTCTGTCCTCCTGCACAGCTGTCAGATCGCTGCGCTTGAATCTGTGTGGCAGCTGCAGCAAGCGTCCAGCTGTGTGTGTGTGTGTGGAGCCAAATGCTCCTTTGTCATCTACAAACAATAGAAACAATCGGGCGACACACTCACCCCGGACATGGCAATTAATCACACAGAGTGTGGGGTGCTATGGAGATGATGATGATGGAGATGATGATGATGAAGGGGCTGTAGAAGAAAACAAAAGGGCTGCTAGATGTTAAT